TCCATAAGACCTTCAGTGCAGGATGTTTTCAAATAGCAATTTATCTCACTTGAGATTGTTTTTCTTAAACAAACTGTTTCTCTCTAGAGAAAGTTTCACTTGAAATATCCATTTATCTCACTTGAGATTGTTTTTCTTAAAACATTTCCAGAAGATTTCATAATGAGAAGAACTCATCTGAAGAAGGAAGAATAAGTTCATAATGAGAAGAACTTGTTCAACCTTTTGCTCAAATCCATCACCAGATGGATCAACATTGCCAGGTAGAGTTCATAATGAGAAGAACTCATCTGAAGAAGGAAGAGGAAGTTCATAATGAGAAGAACTTGTTCAACCTTTTGCTCGAATTCTCACTCAATGGATCAACATTGCCAGGTAGAGTTCATAATGAGAAGAACTCATCTGAAGAAGAAAGGGGAAGTTCATAATGAGAAGAACTTGTTCAACCTTTTGCTCGAATTCATCACTCGATGGATCAACATTGCCAGGTAGAGTTCATAATGAGAAGAACTCATCTGAAGAAGGAAGAAGAAGTTCATCATGAGAAGAACTTGTTTAACCTTTTGCTCGATTCTATCAGCACCAACATTTCCAGAGGAAGTTCATAATGAGAAGAACTTATCTGAAGAGGAAGAAGAAGTTCATAATGAGAAGAACTTGTTCAACTTCTTACTCGATTCTATCACAGAAGAAGATAGATCAGCATCAACGTTTCCAGATAGAGTTCATAATGAGAAGAACTCATCTGAAGGGAAAGAAGAAGTTCATAATGAGAAGAATTTGTTCAAACCTTGCCTTAATTCATCACATATGAAGTTGAATCAATGACAGTTCTTTCAAGGATCAGCATTTTCAGAAGAAGTTCATAATGAGAAGAACTTGTTCAACTTTTTACTAGATTACATCACAGAAGGAGATGAATTGTCATCCCCAGTGGAAGAGTTCATAATGAGAAGAACTTGTTTAACATTTTCATTCTAATCAAGCGAAGTCAAATGAAAAAAAATACTTATTGTCTTTTCGTCTTTGCCCTATTCTCGTTAACACAAGAATGAGCAAAGAGGGGCAGTGAAGACACTAGTTTTTTTTATTTGGTTTTTTCTTTATTTATTTTTATTCTTATTATTATTTTATTTATTTATTATTATATTATTTATTATTATTAGTATTATTATTATTATTATTATAGGCCCAAATCATACCCAACCCAATTACAAATAGTGGCCCAGAACCACAAGCCCAACCCGATCTGGCCCAGATGACCCAACAGAACCCTCCTAGGGTTTGTATCATCTTCTTCAGCCGTCTTTCTTCTCCACCGTTGGATCTGGCCTTGATCCAACGGTCCACAGGAGTCCAGCATGAAGCCCTAGGGTTTCATAACCCTAGGTTATCACCCAGCCTCCGCCTCAGTCTTCCATCTGCCTTTTCCATGCCATTGCCGACGCTCTCATTGCCAGGTGACCCAACCCGCTACAGCCACGACGCCGATGCCTCGAAGAAGTATCCAGAAGCGTCGTGTTACCACCCACGTCGAGACCCTATTATGACTCACCACTAGAGGTTTGGTGACTCACCGAAGGCTATCCTTATGACCGGTCCGAGGGGAATACTGTCGATGGCTATAAGAAGCCATTGACCACCTGCAAACAAAAGAAAGAGAGCAATAACGAGCAACCAACACCAACGGGAAAACAAAAATGGAACCAACAGCAGCAACATAACCACCAGAAAACCGAGAAAAAAACCAATAAAAGAAGAGTGAAGAAGCTTACCACCTCATCAGAGCCCCACGAGCCACCGAAGATCCACACATCGAAGGTAATAAAACCTAGATCTATGAAAATCTAAAGGTTGTTAGGAGAAACAAAGGTTGGATTTAGGATGAGGGAAAGCCAAGCGTTATTTTGGGGGTAATATTGTAATTTCCGACCACCGTTTCACAGTGACCGGCGGCAGTGATCGGCACCGGAAACGATGGCCGACTGGAACTCTGCGGGAGCTTTTTTAGAGAGAAGTGAGAGAACCCAAAGGGAGAAATGAGAGTAAATGGCCAAAATGGCCGGTTTTAAGGGTATTTAAATCCCTCCTCAAACAACGTCGTTTTGAGGAGGGACCCTTGTGTAATTTCCTGTATGGTCAAACCCTTTCCGCCATACCTACCATTTTGTAAATTTACGAGTTGGTCACTAAGTTCAATTTATATTTATTTCAATTTCGTCTTATAATTTTATTTTATTCTACTTTAGTCCTTACCTGTACATTTATATATTTTAAGTAAAATAACTTATTTAGTCCCTATAATTTTGATAATTTTTATTTTAGTCGCAAATAATTAATAAGGCTAAATTACATTATTAGCACCTAGGTTTTTTATTATTCGAGTTAGAGCACTCGTAACTTTAATAATTAATATTTTAATCACGAACAACATGTTTTAATTTGTTTTATTTTAATATTTGAATTAGATATAAGTTTATTTTAGTCCCTAAATTAATAAATTGGTAAAATGGCATGTTTAACCACTGTAATTTTAAATAATTAATTACGAATTAGGGTATTTTAATTTTAATAGGTTATAATTTATTCACTGATTTTAATATTTTCATTTGTTACAAGTTTTATTGTTTTAAATACATAGTTTTAATTTTAGTCACTGTTTGGTTCTATTTTAATTTTATATGTTTATTTTCAATATATTAAATTATTATTATTCTTATTATCATTATTTAGTCATATAAATATATATATAATAAATAATATTTATTTATTTGTTTTATTTGTTTTCTATTAAATAAAAAACCTGTTTATAAATTTAATTTTATTTAAATTACTTTTAGGAATTTTAATATTTATTTACTTTTTAATATTAAGAAAATGATTGTCTTAAAGCAACTAGAAGTCTTTTTCTGATATTTCTAAATAACTAAATATCCTACTTTTACAAATTATATATATATTAATTTATTTTAATTATTTTTAGAGAAATGTTTTATTAATATTTATTTATTTTTTAATATTAAGAAAATGATTGTCTTAAAACAACTAGAAGTTTTTTTCTGATATTTCTAAATAAATAAATATCTTATTTATAAAAATATAATATATATATATATATATATATATATATATATATATATATATAAGTTAATATATTTTTCTTAAAATTATAGTAATAAATTTGAAATCACAAAATTATGAATTAAATATATCTTTGAATTCTTAAATTTCTAATAATAGAGACAATTTATAATTAATGAGTACAAATTTTGGGCGTTATAGGGGTGCTAATCCTTCCCTAAACGTAATCGACCACGAATCCCTTTTTACTAAAATTTTTGGTTATACGCAGATCATTTTATCTTTTAAATTATGTTTTCTTAAAAACTATTTTAGAAGATTGTTTTTAGGTATTTGATCTACCTAATCCAAAAATGTCAATGGCGACTCCCAAAATATTTTTTAAATCAAAATCATTCATTTATTTATTTATTTTCCCGTCAAGTAAAAAATTTGTGCCCGTGCGAAAACCGGTTACGACACGGACGATGAGGGGACGCATAGTGACAAGGGGACTAGTATATTTCCGTTTGGAAACAATCCGATGACGAACGGAAGAGATCGAAGGGTGAGTAGTTCAAAGGATGCTTCGCCGATCGCATGCTCTCATCGAAGTTTCACCTCTCTACTTTAGAGGAATAAGAGCAATGAAGATAAAAATGAAAAAGTATAAAAAAAATAATATTAATAAAACATTAATTAATTCTTACGTGGCAGTAAAATAATAAAAAATTTCATTTCATCAAGTAAAACGGTGGAGTTATAAAAAATCTAATATATAAAGTTCAGTGAGAAAATTAAAAAAAATGAAAAGTACAGGTAATGAAATGTGAGAGAGGGTAAAGTTTAATGAGTAGATTTATAATTTACCCAAAATAAATAGTTAAGCAAATAGATGCACGCAAACGCGAAACCGCAAAACATGCCCGAGTGATAAAACGTCACAATTACAAGTTTCCTTTCGACTTGGGCAAAAAAATCACTAAACCCCAAATGGTAACCAACTAAAGCATTCACCACTTCTCCGACTGCAGAACCAAAAGTTAAGATGCCTCGGAAAACAAGAAATTCGCATTCATTGGCTGAATCATGCACCAAACATCACCGCAAATTCCCCCAACACACTTCCTATCATCGTAGTACCGATGGCGATGATACCAACAACGCCAACACTCGTCTCTCTCATTCTCCCAACGGATCAAATGGAGATGAATTGGAACAAGCAGAGAACGAGAATTATGACTATGATGATGACGACGACGATGATCATGCTTCTGAGTTTCAGTCAGAATCCAATATTAGCAATGACAGCGGCTTAAGTGAAGCAGCACTCTCAAACTCATCAGCCACTTCTTCGTGTATCAATATCGCCCCATTACCCATATTTCATGGCAGCCCCGAGGAATGCCCGGTGACAAATTTAAGCAGGTTCGTCAAAGTCTGCAGTGCAAATAATGCACCGGACGTTGAAACGATGATGAGGATCAAGAAGTGTGCTATGATGAATTTATCGATAACTTATGATAGTCTTGTGTTTCATATTGCATTCATCATAGCACACTTATTGATCAAGAAAGGTTAATTGTCTCCCATAATTAGACCTCCTTTTTCAACAGCTTATCAATACATTCAGAATAGAGAAAAAGAAATTATTGGTAGTTATTATTTTTTTTAGAAAATGAAATATGTAATCAAAAGAAAGTTTTTTGTTTTATTTTTCTTTATACCATTACATTTTTCATATTAAATTGTATTATCTTTATTATATTTATTTAATATAAACCTAACTTCTTATTTAAGAATAAAAAATTGAAACTATATATACACATATGTATGTATGTATATGTCTATGTTCGTGGTGACAAAAGTTATTGATATTATAATAACAATGAGCAACAGTTTCTATAGCAGCTAAAACGCTAAAATAATGGTGGAAATCAACCTATGAAAAAAGAGAATTAACAAGGGATTTGTTTAGTGAACCATTGGATGACGAGAAAAGGAGCTTGGACCAACTGCAGCGCCACCTCCACTACCACCGTCACGCACAAACAACACGGACATATCAATGTCAACGTCAACCTGCACCACCACCAACTAATTACGACATAAAAAAACAAAGAGATGAAGATAATTATACAAACAAAGAAACAAACCCCACGATCCAAACGATGACTCCAACAAGGGAGATGAGCAGAGAAACCAAAGCGAAGGGAAGGCCGAGGATGAAACCAAGTGGTCTGCATTCTCCATCACAGCACATGATTGCTCTTTGCTATCTACTTTTCGTTTTCCTCTACTCTGTCTCATCTATTCATTATATTTGAAGGCGACGCCAAGAAGTTACGATATTATAGTGATTTTTTAATATTTTCATTAGAGAAAAAAATTAAATTTATTTTAAATAAATAATATATTTACATAAAATATATTATCATATTGGAGTCCTCATTCAAAGTAAAACTGGCATAATATCGCAATGGGGTCCTCATCCCAAGTAGAACAGGGAATAAAAAATGAGGTTAAAATGTCACCTTATCATATTAGGATCCTCATCCAAAGTAGAACAGGAAATAATTTCTCTCAAAATAACGATTATTTTAAAAATATATATATATTCCATCTCAATTCTGTTTTCTTTTAGAAGAGCAATATTGATATTTACTTAGATATTTGAAGCTATAAATGTTGAAAATTTTTATTAATCTCGGAATCTCTGAACCAAAACCAGATTACAATAGGAGAAGTAGGCTCAAGAATGAACTCTCCTATCTCGGAGATTGAGAGCAGGAAACTGATATGCAGCATGGATACAATTTGAAGCAACATTGTTTTCGAAGGTGCTTGTATGGAGACCCAAGAGAATGGAGATGAACGTTTGGTAGGAAGTTCATCTTCAACCTTACCCTTCTATCGGAACATGTGACTACAACGAGATCTCGGAGGAGCTTCAACCTTACCGTCGTGTTGGTTTCTCCGAAGGTCTTGCTTGTTCTATGCTATCCTGAAGTCTTCAATTTGACCCAAAGAGCAATCCAGTCCAAATAAATAAGAACCACGGTACCTGAGTAAAGTTGAGATCTCTTCTCACTTGAGTGGCAACTTGAAATATGAATCAAGTACAAAAGTGATTATGTCTACAACTTTTCCAATATGAATTGATGGAAGATGGTGATTACATCCTTCCGGAGAATTATTCTCCAAATTACAAGTTCAACTGCAGCTATAAGAACCAGCTCATTTTCTAACATGTCAAATGCGAGCAACATACTAACAGTACCGGCAATGCAAAGGTTTTTTGCAGTGCTGAAAGTATTTACGAAAGGAAGCCTTTCAAAGTAATGTAGACGGGTGATGAGATGAAATATAAGAAAAGCCAGACCAGAATAGGTGCCCTATGCGAAGCAAGGGTTTCACACTAACTATTATTGTATTCATTTCACATGAACAATACTTACTACTTTGAATTACAATGCTTGTTTCATTCCTTCTTTATACAACATCAAATCAAAGAATCTGCCCAGCAGAATGCATAATAAACACAGAAAAACCAAGTCCCACTTGTTAAATTAGCAATGTACACGTGCCTTCAATTTAGCCCAATCAAATCCTACCCGCATCTTAGTTATATAATTATACAGATAGTCCACAAATTGAGAAGTCCTGCTGAAGCCTCCTTCCCCCACTCCTCCCATTCTGCAGCCCTTCACGTTTATCTCTCCACTATAACACCCAAATGCTACATCACACTCATAAAACCCAATCTGCAAAATTTCATTATCACAATTGATAAGCACGTACTTTAAATTCTTATATCTTAATATCAAGAATGGCTGTAGAAATTTGTCAAAAGATAGCGTACAAATGCTTGTTGAAAGTTGAGAAAAAAATCTATTTGCAATGTAGTTGTCGTTCTCCAACTAATCAGCTTTTCACCAAATACAGTATCACATCACAAGAAAGCATGCCAGGACATTTAACAGAGCATCCTAAATCATTAAGCGCGCATAAAATCAAAAAGAAAAGAGTGAAATCTGAAGCAGCACATATTTATGAGTTATACCACCATGTTCATCATAACAGACACAGTAGCACAACAAAATCACATGATAATCATACATGTCTAGCTATATAGACAATATGTTTATTGCATTTTTTTATCTTCAACATCTTTCCTACTCGATATACAATAACAACTATAGTGAACATTATTATTCTAGAGTATTCTCGATTTTAAGCTCCCGGTGTTTCTTAAGACAATCGGCTTAATACTCAATAATAGGCACTGACTTAAACATCAGTTTACAAACTAGGAAAGAGTTCAGCAGCATTATACAGATGCAACAGAATATGAACACAAAAAGATGTTTCTAAAAATGGGGTAAAAAGATAGAAATCTAGCTTGATTTTCACCAACTAATACGAGCTTAAAAATTATTCCTGCAATGAAGCTAAAATAAAAAATAAAGCTCCTAAACTTTACCACTTTTATCTAAATACCCCTAAACTTTAATTTGTACATATATAACCCTAATATTTAAGTTACAACTTACAACTAAATAAACCCTCGATATAAATCAACATCTCAATTGAAATAAGAGCTTATATTGTAATATAAACAAGTCTATCTTTCGATTTGTTACAATTAGCTCTTATTTCAATAGTAACATAAATAAGTCTTTCAATCAAAATTTTAACTTGAGTTGCAAATCCAGAATTGTTAACAAATCCAAATTTTAATTGAATTTATCATATGCTCACTTACATAGTGAGACTAATCAACAAGGATATTCACCACCATTTACATCACCAGTAAACACCAATCAAACTGCTCGCAATATAAACTATAAATGATTTTACAGCAAAAAAGGTAATTTGAAAATGAGCATATACATCAGAACAACTTTCAAGAACTCAAAAGATGAATGCCTGTAATTCACAGGAACATTTCAGCATACCTGAATGGGCTCAAGATCTAGGTGAATGTCCAGCATCAGATCCAGATGCTGAGGAACTTTCACTATCAGAGTCTACAACAAACATTTATATATGTTAGAACAATAAAACATAATTTACTCTCCCTAAAAATCTAGTAAGAAATAAATCATCATACCACTTGAAGAAGACCCTGAATCACTGCTAGAACTGCTTGAACTACTCGACCTACTAGCAGTATCTCCCTGTTTTTCTTTCGCAAATGATATGGACACATTCTGTTCATCTGCAAGTAGATATATGATCATTCAGATATCAGTCCAACTATGCATGTAGCAAACGATGGATCACTCTTAACATAAAAAGGATCACTCTTCTTAACATAAAAACTTACTAGTTGTAGTTTCCTTGTGCACTTCCATGGAAACAGGAGCTACTGACTGTAACTAAATACAATAAATGCTTGAAATTAGAAACTCTCAGGAAAAGATTCTTAAAAAAGAAACTAAGACAGAAAACTTACTTTTTCAGGTGCAATCTGCTCAGCTTCTGCTCTGGCTTTAATGGAAAGAGCAGCCTTTCTCTTGTTTTTGCTCAAACTTTTCTTGTAGTTGGTAACAAATCTATCTAGCTCCCAAAGAGTCTCGGTATCCACACTGTCAATGTCTACTTCGATTTCATCATGATTTTGAAGGACAGATGAATTCTTTTTCTTAATAATCTGTACAATGTTGTCCAGCTTCTCTAAACGCAAACTCTGAAGGTTAGTGCTAAGCTTCCGCTTCTCTTCATAAGTCATATCCCTCTTATAAGGATCCTTTGCCTTAGGCTTTTTGGGAGCAGGAGTCCTTCCCAGAGGAGTAGTAGCTATTAGTTTTGGTGACGGATTAACTGGGAATGTCTTTGATCTATCCAAGATCCTTCTCGTATCAATTGGAGGTGGTAGCATTGAATGAGCCTTTGTTGGTGTCGGCATACAAAGACTCACTTCATAGTCTATTGCAAGTCTCATATCTCGAATATAATCTGCCTCTATAGAGGCCCATTTGCCCTCAAATATTTTTGATAACTGTTCTGCCATTACATGAGCATCTTGTCCCTTAGGATTATATGTCATAGCATTCTGAAACGTCAGTCTGACATCCTCTGCAAACTCTCTAGGTGACTTGTAACAGTTCTTGCTAAGCCTCGATTTCACAGTGCCCAAATCCATGGGATGCTTAATGACACTATAATAATCATGCAAACCCAAACCTTTGACATCAACAGGAGCATTAAAGACCCAACCATGCTTGTGTTTCATTAGTCTTTCAAGCAAAGAACTACAGCTCTTAAAGAACTTGTTACCCGTGACAAACCCACGTGCGAATTCACCTCCCCCTTGCTTCTTACCATTTAATTTCAACTTCTTGTTACTCTCAGCAGGCGGAAACTTATCTTTATCAAGCAAAAACTCTGAAGTTCGATAAAACTGATTTGCCTTGGGTGTTCTCTTCTCCTTCTCCATTTTTTCATTTGCACCCCGACTATTCTCCAAGGAAGAAATATTCAACTGATTCAAAGGCCTTGATTTCTTAACAGGCTCCTGAGAAATGCCCACTGAAACCTGCTCTGGTTGAGCCCGGTTGAAACCAAAATAAATGGCATTATTCAAAGGAACAAAGGAATTACCAAACCCACTTATTTCCTGCTCTTTGGCTTTAATTCTCTTCACCAATTTCCTCACCAAATCAAGATCACTCACCAACTTCCTCCTCAATTCCCCCACCTCCTGCTTTGACCTTGAAGCCAAATTGATCCTCACCTGGTCCTCTGAACTGGGCTTCAACGCTCCAGCGACATCCTGCTGCTTTTCAAGACTTGAACAGTCATCAGGCACGACAGTGTCTATCAGCGGAACAAGCTGTTGCTGAGCTGAATCCCCAAACTCCAAAGAAAGAGGTTGAGCAGGTATTTGAAAAGAGCAGTTTCTATTATTTTCTTCGTCGTCATCGTTGTTGTTGTTGTCGTTTCCGTCGCCGTTAGGGTCAGCATCTTTTGCGGTGACAGCAGTGTCCTTCACAGCATCGATGTCGGTGTTATTGTTATATTTGTTGTCGTGGCTGGGGTTGCAATTGCTAACGGTGGAGTTGAGAAGATTGCTTTTCTTGGAAGCCTTAAACACTTTCCTGGTATAAACCTTGTTCTCGTTGTACCTCTGTTTCTCTCTCTCGCCATCTTTTTCTTCTCCAACTACTGTTGCCGAAGCCATGCACATATATTAGGGCCCTAATTCCCTATTTCCAGTCTACAAACAAACAATCCTGCTTCTGCGATCAATCCAAAATAGGGTTTAAATACCTCTGCACCAAAAACCCTAATCTCATCTCCCAAACTTCAGAGTTCCCCACAATTTCAACCACTAGATCAAAAAAAAAACAAACCTACCCTACGCCGAATTTGAAGATAAGGAGAAAAAAAGGGGGGGGGGGATAAAGGTGGATTTCTCACCTCCCTACCATGATTGTTCAATTTCAACGATTCTCTCTCTCTCTTTAGTCTTTAAGAATTCTGACCTTTTCCTCTAGGAAAATTACATCATTCATCATTTAACTATTTCATAAATCCTATTTTGATTATTAAATTTAAATATTTTCAATTTAATCATTCAACATTTGAATTACTCTTATTTTAATCATTTTACGATAATATGAATTATTTTATTGTTATTTTCATATGATGTGAAATATTTTATTAATATTTTAATATCATATAAGATTATAATAAAAATAAAATTTAAACCTAAAATTATACTTCTAAATATTAGATCCAAACCTTAATCCTTAAATTCATATCTTAAGCCATAAACTCTAAAATTATACCCTCTCCTCCCTCTATTTCTTTGCCTCCGGTCACCCTACATTCCGCCACTCCTCCATCGACTTCTCTACTCTTCTTTAAATTTCTTTATTGTAAAAGAAAAAAAAACATTAAGTATCCCAATGACATTATTCTTCTGAGTGAACACAACTCTTGATCAATCAAGCATAAATAAGGGGCAGACCGTCGATCTCTAAAATAGACAACAGCATCATGTTTAAATGAGGTTAAGGTCCTAGATAAGAACTCAAAGTCACAATAAGGTTCAATTGTTTTTTCAGTGATAGCCCAACAACAATGGGGATTATGAATGGAGGAAATGGAAATTAAGAAGTCAAGAACAAGTTGGTGGTTCAAGAGTCGTCAGACAAGGTTATCAATAATTATAACCTCGTAACCTTTATTGGACAGGAGAAGGGCAATGACCCAACCATAATAGTCATCTGTGCCAAAAACCATGACCCATTGAGGCTTCGAAGAATCACTCCGAGACTCACTAGAACCAGGAGTTGTGAGAAGTGGAGTAGTCAGTGAAGATATGGCGAAAGATGATGTGGCTGAAGGTTGGGGGTGAGAGGGCATAATTTTGGGGTTTAGGGTATGAATTTGATATTAGGGTTTTGTTCTAATATTTATTAGTATAATTTTGAGTTTAAATTTTATTTTTATTCTAATCTTATATGATATTAAAATAGTAATAAAATATATCACATCATATGAAAATAACAATAAAATAATTCATATCATCGTAGAATGATAAACAATCTAAAAATTAAGTAATTAAATTGAAAACTTTATATTTTAATGATCAAAATAAGAGCGAGAAAATAGTTTAATGATGAATGTTATAATTTATCCTTTTTTTATCTGTAATGCCTCAGAAGCGCGTGTATGCATAAAAAGAGTCGTGATCCTAAAACAGCATTAAGAAACGTAGTGATTTACCCACGCTCTACCGCCTAGAGTGTGAAGCGCGTACCATTTAATAACAGAATTTTGCGAGTGAAAGCGTCGTCAAGTTGAGTTATACAGGTGGATTGTAGTACGGAGGGAACGTTCATATTTTATACTCCCTGCATATGTGATTTAATACTTGGTCTCTAAAGTATTTTTATATTTTGGTATTTGAATTTTTGTTTTTCTAACATTGAATTTATTCTTAAATTAACGTTAATTTAAAAATTTATCAGAGGTCAAAATCCTATAGATCAAGTAATTAAAAACTCTTAGTTATTTTTTTTTCAAAAATTGTTCAAAATAATAATAATCAACCGACACATCACCAATGACTTAATTTAAAACTAAATCTAAAAGGGAAAAAAATTAATTAATCACAATCCAATCCATAAGATTCAAAATTCACAGTTTAGTCCCTACAGTTCTAGTTTTACAGTTTAATATTTGTCAGTAGTAATTTCTACGATTTATATATATCAGTCCTTCAATTCGAGAGTTTCATTCTTTGTTTATATATTTATAAATTAATTTAGAAGGACCAATTTATAAAAATACAATTATTAATACAAGTTTGTGAATATGCATGTTAACATAAGTTTAGAATTACTTTAAATTGAAAGGGCGAAACTTAATTTTGGTCTTAAATTCTAAAAAGAAAGGGCAAAACTTTTTCAAAATATTTAGAGCGAGGGTTATAAAACTTTTATGTCTTTCACAATTTATTTGATGGTGATACTAAAAATTTACAAAGAAAATATAGACATATTGGTAAAGAAAGAAAATACTATTGATAAAAAATTAATTAAGCTGTCATCAAATTTTTGCAGTCAATTGAATTCTTTAGTTAAGTCAAAAATATCAATGGTAAACTATCAAAATGGTCATCTTTGTTTCATTTTTTCACTTTTGATCACTAATTTTAAGAAAATAATACTTTGGTCACTTATGTTATTAATTTATAATATTTTTATTATTGAGACATTAATTCCTTAGTTTGAAGACATGACACATTAGTAAAGGGGTTTATTTTAAACTTAACCAATAATTTTTAGATAAAATATTAATTTAATCTCTAAATTTAGATAAAATATCAATTTAATCCATAATACGACCGAAGTCTACACGACCGCTCATCACAATCATCAATCACTCTTAATCGTCATTAACTATTACCACCAACAACCATTAGACCCTACATTTTTTAGCTATTTATTGGTTTGCAAGTTACTGGAGTTCTATTTCAAAATTCAAATGGGTTTGACAATGACAAATGGATTCATTCACCATTGTACTATTCGGGGTCTTTTTAAGCAAAATTTGACACATATCATATCATTTTCCAACACTTTTACGGGTAAGAACACAATCACCAATCAATCGAGAGACCTACCTATAATGTAACATCTTCAAGAATGATTGTACACTTTTCATATGAAAGATGAAAAATGTACATCTTCGATCTTCATTTCTTTATGAGTGTCGAAATTAGTGATGATTTTAGCTTAAAATCTCAACCAACCGAAATATGTATAAAAAGTTAACTTGTCTAAGTATTCAATAATGACGTTGTGGGAGGTTTCCTCACAGGATGAATAAATTGGTTGAGAATTGAGATGCGATCGTTTTCCAGTTAAATTTAAATAATTATAAAATTAATTATTAAAAATATATTAATAAATAAAATTAACGAAAATCTTGACAATAACATTAATTTGTTTTCCATATATTATAAATAGATTGAAATATGTGTCACATTTAATCGCTGCATTTCTATTTTGTACTGTCAAATAATAATTAAAATAAATAATATATTAGATATATTAATATAATAAATAAACTATTATTCAAAAAATAATATACCAAATAAACAAAAATAATTAAATATTTTTCTGAAAAATTAAATAATTAAAAAATAAGTAATAATGATTGACATCGTGTTTTAAAAATTTTCATAATTTTTTATGTATCGGAATCCATATTAAATGTCAAGTGCAAAGCATACACCAAGAAATTAATTGAAAATAAATATTTTTTTTCAGCATAAAAATATATTAATATTATAATAACTAAAATAAAATATATAATTATAAAAATATAATAAATAAATTAAACTTTATTAAATAGTTATACAAAAAATAAATATTTATAAAATTAAATAAAAATAATTAACATCACATTTTAAAACTTTTATATTTTTTGATACATCAAGATTCACATTGAATAACAAGTGTAAAGCATACACCAAAAAATTAATTGAAGTATAAAAATATTTTTAATATAAAAATATTAATATGTTTAAAAGTATGAATCTCATATCATTAGTTAATTGAGTTTTAAATTATTAAATTACCCGTATATAGGGGAATGCGAAATAATAGTATTTGAATAATATTTTTCTTTTTTATAATCTTTAAATTAAATAAAAAACATTACTTAAATATTTAATATATAAATTATTAAATTTAAATACAAATAATTAATCACTCTCATGTAAAATTATATGTTTAAATATAAAATAATGTGTATAGTATAAAATTTAGAATACGTTTTATTATTTTGCACCGACATGCATGCATATCGGGTAGTATATAATAAAGAGGTTTATTTCTTAAAAAAGGATATATATTTCGAAATTCAAAACGAAGAGGGGGAGCGTCTGGTGTTCACTCCCCCCTTTTATAAAGTTTGAAATTCAAACAGGCACAAGATCTCATCTCTCTCTCTCAAAATAACATATTAGAAAATCCATTTCTGGATTGATTTCATTAATCACGCATAGAAAACAAAGAAAATCGAAATGGACAAGTACGAGAAGCTGGAGAAGGTAGGGGAGGGTACGTATGGCAAGGTTTACAAGGCGAAAGACAAGGCAACCGGCCAATTGGTGGCCCTCAAGAAGACCCGTCTGGAGATGGACGAGGAAGGCGTCCCTCCCACCGCTCTCCGAGAGGTTTCCCTACTCCAAATGCTCTCCCAGTCCCTCTACATTGTTCGTCTCCTCTGCGTCGAGCACGTCGACACCAACAAAAACGGTGGCTCCAAGGCCAATCTCTACTTGGTCTTCGAGTACCTCGACACCGATCTCAAGAAGTTCATCGATTCCCATCGCAAGTGTCCCAACCCCAGACCCCTTGCTCCATCCCTCATTCAATCATTTCTCTTTCAGCTTTGCAAAGGTGTCGCTCATTGCCACAGCCACGGCGTCCTCCACCGCGATCTCAAGCCCCAGAACCTTCTCCTCGACAAGGAGAAGGGGATTCTCAAAATTGCAGATCTGGGTCTTGGCCGTGCTTTCACTGTTCCTCTCAAGAGCTACACTCATGAGATCGTTACGCTCTGGTATAGGGCCCCCGAGGTTCTGCTTGGCTCCACTCATTATTCCACCGCCGTCGACATGTGGTCCGTCGGATGCATCTTCGCTGAAATGGTTAGAAGGCAAGCACTTTTCCCGGGGGATTCAGAGTTCCAGCAATTGCTCCACATTTTCAGGTATATCTGTTTTTTCCATTAGTCTCTCCCTCCCTAACAGTTGCTCTCTTACTCATTTTTTTGTGTTTTTCAATGGATCAAAACTGAAAAGGTTGATGGGCACTCCGACTGAGAAGCAGTGGCCTGGGGTTACCGCTTTAAGGGATTGGCACGTTTACCCACGATGGGAGCCTCAGAGCTTGGACCGCGTTGTTCCTTCCCTGTCTCCTGATGGGGTTGATCTTCTCTCCGTATGTCTACCTTCTTTTACTATAACAAAACATCATATTATACTCATGTTTTGTCTACTATATGTCTTGATGAAGTAGTTTCCTTTAGCATCAACGATGCTACATGTTATAGTTTAAGAAGAAAAGAAGGTAGGATTAAAAATTCTTTCGGTGCTTCTATTAAGCTGCTAACAAGCACACTCCAATAACGTTCATTTATGTATTCAAGTATAGAGTATAGATAATTGAATATGATCCTCAAAATATATGAAAAAGTTTAGAGAAAATTAAGCACTTTCGTGTTGGACGATAATTGTATTCAACACTTATCCAAGTATAGCTCTAAGTTATCAGGAGGCCTAAAGGGTCTTCAAATCTTCATTCTTCAACACTTATCCTAGTATGCTTTGATCATGTCTCCACCTGTGATTAGGACCAAAAATGTAGAGAATAGATAGAGAAAAACCATTGAAGCAAATTAGAATCCACATGGAATTTCGTTGCATGTTAATCAGGATTATAGCAATGGTTTGAGTGATTCAAAAGTAAAAACTATTTAAAGAATAAGGAACGAACAATTAGCATATACACGAAAATTTTCAGTTATATCTGTCAACCGATCTTTGTACAGAGGTATATGCACAGCAAAAGAAGGAACTGAATATAGTTGCATCGGTGCCTGCCATTTACTCGTTTAATTTCTATTTCCTTAGCCTCTTGCAAGTAGGTCAGTTTCAAGTTGCAAATAATTTCCCAACAATAGAACGCATATATCTTCATGTTCATGCTTTATTGATTTACCTCTGCATTACTTGCAATTTTTGAAGGCTAAGAGCTTGCTGCTTTTTGGTTTCTGCAGAAAATGCTTAAATATGATCCTGCAGAGAGAATATCAGCAAAAGCAGCAATGGATCATCCTTATTTTGACAGCCTTGACAAGTCCCAATTTTGAATTTGCATTGCTTTTTTTTATTGTATTATATGGATTTTAATCTGCTTGCTTAGAATGGTATATTTCTATTCACTGGGTGCTCGCTTCCTTGAGTTCAAATTATGTGTTGGGGAATCAGTTGTCATCAGCTAGGTTATCCAAACAATATTTTACAAATGAATCTTTTAGATTGGCTTCTATGTTGCCTTCTGTTGAAGTTTGTAATGCTTGATATACCAACTAGTTACATGTGAAACTATTCTTCATACTGATTTAATGTGGTTTGAATCTTTTCATTTTGAGCATGTATGTATATATATATTATCGTACTATTATGTGTATAATCAATGAAGTAATATAAAATGCAATGTTTTTAAAACCGGACCGGACATTGAACTGGTGAAGGTACTGGTTCAATCGGGTTTAACTGCGGTTGATCCGGATTTTATATAAAATAATTTTTTTTTAATTTTACATAATATTCAAAACAATATTAATATATATGTAATACTTTTTTTAAGTTTACAATATTAAAAGGTATACAAATATCATAATTCATAAGTCATAATATATATAAATTAAAAATCATAAAATCAAGTGAAACAAAATGATTCAAATAAACTACAACATAATATTTAAGGTAAAACATATTAAATAATAAATATAATTATAATCAAAAAAAATAAAATTGGGGCTTAAAAAAATCATAACAAATGATGTCAGTTGGTTTAATTTAAAAAAAAAACAATCTCACATGGCTAAGAAACATAGAAGATCATTCCAAAAGTTTAAAGAGTAAAAATATAAGAACAAAACAATCCCACATGACTAAGAAACATAAAAGAGCATCCCAACGTACTTCTATAAATAATAGAGGTAATTTGACATTCAAAATCATGGAGCCTTTTGGTGAGCACAGAGTGAACTATTCTTTTGCTTCAATTGAGCTCAAATTTTAGGCTTCAATCGAACTTCTAAATTTTTTTTGAGTTCGAGTCTTTTCGAGTTCAAGTTTTAATATTATATTTCGAGTTGAACTTGATAATTTTTAGCTCGTGAGTTTTTGAGTCGAGTTGAGCTTACTTTTAAAGTTTTCGAGTTCGAGTCGAGCTCAGCAATACTTGAATTTGACTTGGCTTGTTGAAAAAATGACGTTGTTTGGTTTAATTGTTTTTTAAAAGAAAAAAAGTGAACTGATGGTTCAAACCGATTTTGCCGGTTTTCAGCCGGGTTCACCCCGATTTTACCGGTTATCAGCCGGTTCATTGCCAGCCTGGTTTTGTGAGGTAACCGGACCTGACAAGCCACCTGTTCACGGTTCAACCGGTTGAACCGGTCGGTCCGGTTTTGATAACCATGATAAAATGTCAAGATACAATTTTTTTATCCATTTGTTTTTTATTATTTTTATTATTATATTATTTTTATTATTATATTATTTTACTATTATTTTTATTTTTATTTTTATATTAATATTATTATTATTATTATTTACATTACAGGCCCAATCATACCCGATGCCCACTTACAACCAAACAACCTGGAGGCCCACTTACACCCAGATTGGCCCAAATGATAACCATAAACCTGTTTAGGGTTTGTATCTCAGCCCGAGCCGCCATCAATCATCCACCGTTGGATCTGATGAGATCTAACGGTCCACAGAAGCGCCAGAAAGAACCCTAGGGTTATGATACCCTAGGGACTAAACCAATCGCCACCGCTCCACTTCCCAGCCAGCTGTTGCCAAGCCCCGCCATGCTTCAACAGAAACCTCTAGAGGAAGCAAAGATGATCGTCCACGTTATGGCTTTAGGGTGAGTTACCACTTTAGGTTTGGTGACTCACCAAACTCTGCCTTATTAACCGGTCCGAGATGAGCTCCGGTTATGGCTATAAAGCCACCGAGCCCCCTGCTAACGAAAAAAAGAGACCAACAGCAAGCAACCAAAATACAACAAACAAAAAAAAAAGAGAAGAAAGAAAACTTACCCTTGAGGTCTCGATCATCGCCGGAAGCACCAAACGTCGCCGGAAGCACCAAACGTCGCCGGAAAACAAAAAATACCGAAGGTATTTTCTTAGATCTACTCCGATTAGGAGTCTTTTAGGGTAAATTAAGGCCAGATTCGACCTTAGGAATATTGGGCCTTTATTTTGGTGTAAAATAATATTTTCCGACCACCGGAGGCGGTGGCCGATGGCGGGATTGGCGGTGGCAGACGGCTGTCGATCGGCGCCGGAATTCCCTCTGGTGAGGGAAGCTAGAGAGAAGCCAAATAAAATTTGTTCTCTCGGTTTTTAGAGAGAGAGAGGAAGAGAAAATGAAAATTTTGGCCTTAAGGCCGTTTGGTTTAGGGTTTAAATACCCCTCCCCGAACGACGTCGTTTTGGGGAGAGGTGTATCTGTAATTTTTGAAAATGGACAAATCATACACGTAGCCATTAGAATTCTGTAAACTTTCACTTTAGTCACTGAAATCGAATTATGAACTTTTTAATTTGATCTCGTAATTTTATTTTATTTTATTTTAGTCATTTATATAAAATAATTGATTTTTAGGTAAAATAACATTTTTAGTCCTCTAATTTTAATAATTAATATTTTAACCCTGATATCATGTTTTAATTTAATTTAATTTGATGTTCGAATTTTATATAATTTTATTTTAGTCCTTAAATTAAATAAGGTAAAATAGCATGTTTAGTCCCTATAATTTTAAATGATTAATTACGAATTAGGGCACTTTATTTTAAAATGTTATAATTTAGTCAATAATTTTAATAATATAATTCTATTTATTTTTGTTTATTTATATTTTTATATGTTTATATATTTAATTATTATTTTATTACTATTATGTATTCATATAAATATATATAATAAATAATATTTATTTAATTATTTTTTATATTAAATAAAAATCCTATTTATAAATTTAATTTTATATAAATTACTTTATGGAAAATAATCATAGTTTAATATGTATTTTTAATATTAAGGAAAGAGCTATCTTAAAGCACCTAGAAGTCATTTTATGATATTTTTAAATAAATAAATATCCTATTTTTATAAATTATATATTATTTTTTATTAATTATTTTTAAAAAATATTTATTTATTTTTTAATATTAAGAAATGGGTTGTCTTAAAGCACCTAGAAGTCATTTTCTGATATTTCTAAGTAAATAAATATCTTATTTATAAAAATATAAAAATTAATATATTTTCTTAAAATTATATTAATAAATTTGAAATAATAGGATTATGAATTAAATATATTTTTGAATTCTTAAATTTCCAATAATAGAGACAATTTATAATTAATGAGTACTAATTTTGGGCATTATAGGGGTGCTAATCCTTCCCTAAATGTAACCAACCACAAATCCTTTTTTACTAAAATTTTTTGTTATACGCAGATCAGTTTTATCTTTTAAATTATGTTTTGTTCAAAACTATTTTAAAATATTGTTTTTAGGTATTTGACCTACCTAACCCAAAAAGGTCAATGACAACTCCCAAAACATTTTTTAATCAAAATCATTTACTTATTCATTTTATTTTTTGCGCCAAGAAAAAAATTCGTGCCCGGACAAAAACCGGTTACGACAGCTTGGCGACTCTGTCGGGGGCCTAGTCAAGCTTTAAAATCAATTATACATTGTCTCTATCAATTAGTTAAAAATTCATATTTATTTAATTTATAATTCTTTTCTTTCAAATTTTTATACTTATAGTTTTTATACTATTTATTTACACATATATTCTTTTTTACTTCAAGTATTAAACTTCATTATTATTTATTTGTTTGCCAGTATAAAAGGTTTGAATATTTCTCCTCACACACAACACATACATTGCATAACATAAGCTTTATAATCAAGCTTGTCCCTTTTAAGTAGGAGTGAAAGTGACTTCTTCGTGAGAATTTATTCTCCGTGTTAGACCTAGCAAGTAGCTTTCGGGGTTCATATGCTCTATGTCTTCGTGAGAATTTATTCTCCGTGTCAGGCATAGGGAAATGTGTCCTCTCGAATTGAACTCGATCCGCTTAAGTCTGTAGTGGACTAGGTTTGAGGGTTGGCAGCTCAAGGGGGCACTAACAAGGACAATTCGGGTACCTTTACTCTTAGAACTGAAACTCTGCATATAGTAAACCCTAGAAACTCTTCCGATTTGAAGCCATGCCAAAATTTTGTCCAAAATATGTGTATACAAAGGAGAAATGAATTCTAACTTTTTCCTTTTAATTTATTTATTTATTTCCCTACTAAAGTAGAAAGCATGCTTTAAGTAGAAATATTTGGGTAGACATTATCATTAAATTAAGTTTTTCCTTCTTTATTATTTGAACTAATTCATTTCTTTTTATGTTTTTATTTTTTCTGTTTGCTTAGCATCATACAGGATTAAAGGTATTGATATTCAAGTTAATCGTCTCATTGGAAAACCTTCATCTATGGATAAAAAATGTTCAAATCAAATAGTTCCAAACTCAGAAGTAAGATAGTGGTCTGAAGACTTACAAAGAGAAGGGGGAGGCGGTCTGCAGAATGATTATGTACCCTAGTTAGCAAGTTATGCTCCTGTTTCTCTAAAAAGAAATAATATATAAGATTTGTGAGGCATTTGGGAGAGTTGGGATTCAAATAAAAGGTTGCAGTTCTATCAATGTTACGGGGACATCCCATATTTGCTCTATGTCGAAGTTGATGATGAATTACTTCGAGCCCTGATTTAATTCTGGAATCCCGGTTATAATTGCTTCACTTTCAATAAGGAGGACTTGGTTCCTACTATTGAAGAGTATACAACTTTGCTACATATAGAAGGGGCTTTGGAGAATTGAATTTATTCAAGGTCAGTTAAAACTCAACCTTTCCGAGTTAAATTAGCAAAGATTGCAGGAGTACGAGAGGAATGGGTAATGGCCCGTATGAAAAAAAAGGACGAGGGCGAAGGTATTGCCTAGACCAATATCAAAGAAATTATTCATAGTCATCCAGATGATAAAGTACGATTTGATCTATTTACTCTGGGTATATATGGTATGGTCATCTTCCCGAAAGCATTAGGATACATTGAAGCTGCAGTAGTAGATTTGTTTGAGCAGCTACCAAAAAAGGTCAATCCTGCTTCTGCAAATCTAGAAGAAACTTTTCGATCGTTAAGTGCTTGCAGAAGGCTGGGAGGTGGACGATTTTCGGGATATGTACAATTATTATATGTCTGGATCCATATCCATTTTTGGAGGACAGGAAA